GGAAGAAGCAGGGAGAGAGAGGAGGAAGAGGGGATGACAGAAAACAAAAGAAGGTAAGATCTATTAGATACCTGTACCAACACCTTGTGATACATATAATCATTATGCATTGAAAACATAAACCATTAAGAACATCAAGCTCTTGACTCACATCAACAACTGTACATACCTATATAAACAGTCTCTTTTGAGAGCCCAGGAGATTATGAATAAACAGGAGTACTAAGCACTTGTCATCTACCTAACAATATCAGTTGATTTAATATCTTTTGTTGACATTAATAAATAGTTTATAGGTGAACACCCCTCGCCTTCCCGATAACACATTCTGCTCCCCTACAAATAATAAACAGCCTTGAATAGGGTATGCTTTAAAATTTTTGACCATTCTCCAAGGCCAATATGCCCAAATGTTAAGAAATTTATATACAGTACCAGAAATTTATAAACAATCCTACCAGAAAAGGTCTATTATTCTTAGGTCAAATATTCCCAGTATATTTATATTACATTGTATTACACAAATACTTGTTAATGATAAACTACATAATGCAACTGCATATGGACTCCAATTAAAGATAACAGAGTGGATAGAAACTTCTATTTCTGCAGTATTTACATACATCTCCTTGTATTTTCCCATTACTGAAAAACATCAACTGACATAAAATAACTCAAGAGTCCATAGTAAGTGATCTGCCTTATTTTGAGCATCCATCTACTCTCCTTTAAGACAAACAGACACATATTAAAGATATCATAAAAGGCCTTAAAATTCTGCCTATTTTAAAAAGTAACCCTAGTCATATTTTCACAAATTTTAAATGCATCTGACATGCTTTGTAGTACAAATTATAGAACAGAAAAGTGTAAGAGAGAATGACACTACAGCTTTACTCTGCCAGGTTAAATAAACAATAGCTACTGCTCTTTACAATTTTGCTTGATATTAAGTGTTAACTTAGAACGAATGGCTGAAAAAATCCTCACGCTATCTTGAAAAACCACAGTGTACAGATATCCCTTCTCCCTATAATCAACCTTTCTTCCTGTGAGTTTCTGAGATACATAATGCATATTCATGAATGTTAATAAATCTCATAAATCAAAATTCCATTAACTTTTCTTCCATATTGAGCCTTTCCATAAGCTCCCACAGAACTGTGCAACAATATTCCTTGATGTGTCAGAGTACACAGTGTAAAAAAGTAGAGCTGGGCCTACACCACGACAATTTCTCTGCATGGAGAAAAGTCAATGACCAAGATATTTCATTCCATCTTGACCTCCCTTGGTTCTAAACTGTACCTAGAGAAAAGCATAAAATAGGCCAAAGAAACAGCATCTTCTGTTTATCAACCATTATTTATGCTTTTGTGGGAAAGTAGGGTAAAAGTAATTGCTGCAGCTAAATTATTTCCTAAAATTATCCTTGAGGAATCCATTATAATGCAAAAAGATTCAGAAGCCCACAAGGATCCTGAACTAAGTAAGGCTGGCAAGCTACACAGCCCATCACAAAAGACTATGCTCAATGCAAGCTTGATATGCAAATTATTAGTCTGTACAATACACACCAGAATCAAGTTAAGCTCTGTAAAAATAAGTCTGGGAAGCCTAGCAGCACCCAGTATTTTTTACGAGCCAGTATTCTCCCAAAGGGTTATATATGTAATAAAATAAATGAAGTCAGCAGTTTCTGACTCACACAGCACAGCTTTTCATGAATGGATACGTTTGTGGAAAGATGGATTAACTCCCTGATCTCATTTTAATGAGTTTCTCTTTGTCTTCCAGGCACTACACCTCACAGAAGCTCAATCACTCTGTAGTCATTTAAATCAATCCATTCAAGAGTTCTGAGAAATGCACTGACTCCACTTATTTGGGCATTACATGCACATCAATTTACCAAAATTTAAAGTCAGAGAGTTCATATTTAAATAATATAAAGCTACCTCTTCCACCCTGTAGGTTGTGGAATGCCATCAATTCTACCTTCTCAATACAACTAACATCCGGTCCACCTCCGCTGTGAACACTGCCACCTGTAAGGGCCTCCTTAAGGTACCCCTCGGCCCTACTTCACCCTGCTCTGACCCCTTCAGCACCCAGCCACCGAAGTCATCTGTCCAAAATGCAAACCTAATTCCATTACAGCTCCCCAAGTTCCGAGGACAAAGTGCAGCTCCGGGGCCCATCAGGCCCCAGCCTCCCAGCCTCCCTGCTCCTGCCCTGCCCATCCGGCTGCCCAGAGTCCTCTAGCAAACCACTCTTTTCTAACTTAGTGGCTGCCAAACTTCTGGGTTTTGTAGATCAGGGGAAACGATGACAAAACCAACTAAGAGGGTGGTGAGTTACACACACGGCTGCCAGTTTCTACCTGCCAAGAAAAAAATTAATAAAAACAAAATCTATAACTTTTGAGCACTTTCTCTTTACAAAAAGGAAACATGGGCATGATCATAGGGCTTTAAAACTCACAAAAATTAAATTTAAAAAATAAAAAGCACATTGGGGCTGGTGAGATGGCTCAGTGGTCTAAAGCACCTACTTAGAACAAGCGTAGCAAAGCACAGGGACTGCAGTTCAATCCCCCAGCACCACATGCCAGCCAGCCCCGCCCCCTGGTGGGCTGAGCTGGCCACACACACACACAAATAAATAAAAATTAAAAAATAAAAGTATTATAAAAAATAAATAAATAAAAAATAAAAAGCACACTGCCTTACCCTTTTTTGACAGAACCGGAGATTGAACACATACTCTTTTCTTTTTAAATTTTACTTCATTCTGGGTACAAATTCTAGTGTAAACTTGTTCAAATAAAACTGCTGCTCTAGCTTATGGTATCTGTATTTCCCTGCTTGCTCCGGGCTCCGTGTCCCAACCACCCTATGCCCTCCTTTCAGGTGCCTGACTAGTAAATCCTTTAAAGTTCACCTGTAAGGCTATCCCTATTCAATTTTAATATGCACAATAACCTTGGCATCTTGTTAAAATGCAGATTCTGGGCACAAATACTTATTCTTGTGTTTCTTCCAGAAGTTGTATGATTGTAAAGTTTATACTCATATCTATAAGCCACTTTCTATACATTTCTATGAATGGTATGAGGTAAGGACTGAATTTCATTGTGTCGCATGTGGGTATCCAGTCGTTCCAGGACCATTTATTAAAAGGACCATCCTTTCTCCACTGAGTGGCCCTTGCTTTCTTCAAATATCAAATTGATCACATGTATGAGAGTCTCTTTCTGGACTCCACTCTGTTCTGTCTGCCTGTTTGTCTGGGCCAAGTGCCCTGCGTGTACCTGGATCAATGGATTATGACCCAAACACAAAGAGCACCCTGTGCAAATGAGAGAGGACCAGGAACCTGGCTGACCTCTGTGCTGTTTGCCTGCTTTCCTTCCTCTTCTGTACTGTACCTTACCAGGCTAGAGTAAATATACTTTGTTAAAGTCTTGTGAGTCTTTTCAATTAACTGGCCCAGGGGTAATTGCCACAGTATTTTTTTCCATGATTAAAAAGACCTTTCTTACCACAGAGCCAAAAGACTAGCTTTTATCCATCCTGTCTAAATGGGTCAAGGTCAAGTCCCTCTTGGCCTTCTCTCTCAGGACTGGCATGTCCTCAGTTACACTGATTATGGCTGCCAGGTCTACTTTAATACCAACTAGTTAGCCATGGCCAAATCGCTAAGATAATTTTAAAGCAGGGAGGGTTCAAAGTGTTTACATGAGTGAGTGTAAGCGTGTATGTATGAATATGGACCACGAACACAGCTGAAACTCGACACTGTCCCCAAAAGAGTGAAATCCAGCCAAAGCAGAAACTGTGAAGACAGGCTGAAGTCTGCATGTAGGCACCTTCTCAGCCCAAGAAGGGAGCTACACTTAGCACCACCAAGGCCTGCCGACATAAGCGGAAGGCTGGGGAGCCTCGAGCAAAGCTGCCGCCTCCCCCACCTGCTCTCCCACCTGCAACACAACACCTTAGACAATCAATTCAGAGGAGGAAAGGTTTATTTTGGCTCACAGGTTTGGCAACTTCAGTCACGTTCACTTGGCCTTGCTGCTTTGGGCCAATGGAGGCACAGGATGCCATGATGAGAATGTGTGACAGAGGGGGCCAGGGCGCAGAGAGAAGAAAAGGACAAAGTCCCAAGCTCCCCTTCAAAGGCAGGCTGGCCATAGATGGCCTAGCGTCCTTCCACAAGCTTGGCCTACCTCTTAAAGGCGCCATTGCCTCCCCAAATGCCAGAAGCTGGCAGTTAAGCTACACATCAGGCCTTTGGGGATACTTCCAAGCCACAGCATATTTGAGAAAGGTAAGTGACAGTGGCTGAGAAATAGTAACAATATATTGGGCATCTGTCACTGAAGACACATTGAACTTAATATCCTGTACATTATTTCATCTTAACAAAAGTCTAGGACCAAGAGCCTGTTGATGATTCCATTTCAGAAATGGGCAACTGTAGCACGGGAACACTAAGCCACCAGTGGTCTCCAAGCACAGAGAGGGTGGAGGGAAGAGCCAGGAGTCATCCTCAGGCATTATGAAGCTACATTCAAAATCTTACAGTGTTCAGGATCTCATCAGAAATACTTGGGACTAGAAGTGTTTCAGAGTGTGTGTGTGGGGGGGTGAGGGACCTATAATATGGTAAAGAGATAGCTACATATAAGACAGCTTAGAGATGAGAGCCAAGTCTAAAAATGAAATTCATTTATGTTTCATATATATTTTATACATACAGCCCCAAATAATCACATCAATATTTTTAATGTGTGTGCACTGGAACTTTTTGAGATTTCAGATTTTTGGATTAGAGGTGCCCAAGCTTGCACCATGAAACTGGATATGAAACTGCCTGAAAGTTCAGGGAGAGAAATGAATCAGAGCAGGGGAATAAAAGGTGACACTAGAGGAATCTGGCAGGAAGTTCTTACTATTTAGAAAGCAGAAGAAAAAGGGCCAAGGAAAATGACTTACAGGCATTTGAGTACTTTGATTAGTTCTGAACTTGATCACTTCTAATTTATGTCTTGAGGTACTGCAGACCAAATTAAAAAACAAAACAAAATACCACACTGTGAGATTTTCACAATTACACAAAATTCCTATTGTCCACAGCCTAGCATGAAAAATGATGACCACTGCATAATTTATCTATCATCTTTTCTTTTACCATTTAAAAGATCTTAGGCTTTCTTACAGAGGGATTTTACATATTACCCTACTCTTCAACTCTGAGCTTTGTTAGTGTGGGTAAAATCCACTTAACACAAACATAACACATTCTATTGGTTTGATCTGTACCTAAATGTTTAAAAATTTCTCCTGCTCTACTAATTTCTCAATATTGAATGTAAGTGGCAAAAATAAAAGTCCTTTTAATCTTAAAAGTGCTAACGGGTATTGTAAATTTTAAAAACTTTATCTACCTCTTACCTTAATTCATGATATTTAAAAACCAGGACTAGTATCAGAAACTAAAGAGATTAAGATGAGGTCCCATTCCTCAGGGCCCTGAGGTTAGATTTCCATCCACTATATTCCCAAAAAACCCACCAGGACACTCCAACACCACGCTCTCCCGTTCTCGGTACTCCTGCAGACGCACAGTAGGCTGTGCTTGGGGCTAAAGGCAGAAAAGATCATGAGAAAGCGGGATCTGTATAGCTTCTGACCTTCACCTTTGAAAGCTAGACTCAAAAGTCTCTTGCAAATGGTAGGAGGCTTTAGAATGTAATATTAATATTAATATCGATATTAAGCCCTTCAGCTAGGCCAGTTCTAATTACCTTTACAAAGTATTTGCTTTAACCTTTACAATGTTCCTATGAACTGGCACATGAGCACTGTGCCCATTTTAAAGATGATAGACAGGCACAGACAAGTTCAAGTAACTAACATCTAAAAAATAAAAAGGAAGCTTAATTCACATCAAGGCAGCCTGTACCCAAACCCCATGCTATGGGCAGCTAGCATGCCTCCTACCACTGAAAGATTCAGACACTGTAGATCAAGTGGATTGCACCGGTGGATCACAATTTAGGAGCCCAGATCCGACCCAAGTACCCAGGGGGTGATCAAAATACTCACAAGTTCAACTTTTAGAAGATTCATTGTATAAAAGATACACCGCCACTGATGCTCCCTCACTCAAACACACATCCCATCATTCCTGCTACCTCCCTAAGCAGTTCTGGAAGTCCTCGTTCATGAATAGCACTAGTTGTACTGCCTGGATGTCCTGAAGTAGTTTAAGTGATCAACCCCTCCATGGTCATTTTCACTTTGGGGATGAACCCGCAGCAGGGTGCCAGGTCCAGGGAACAGGGTGGACTGGGACACACTGCAGCCTCCTTACAGCCTGCCTTCCCACCAGATGGCACCTGACGGCAACAGCTTTTGTATTTTTGACAATACCTCGAAGAAAATGCTCAAGAGAGGGCGGGGTGTGTTTTGAGGAAGATTAATGACAATGTGTCTCTTACTGTAATTTTCTTTTTGGCAGTACCAGGCACTGAACTCAGGACTCTGCTTGCCAGGCAAATGCTTATTCTACTGAGCTATCTCCCCAGCCCAATAATTTTTACTTATTTCTTTTTTTTTAAATGTTTTGTTTGTTTTTATTTATTTGACAGAGTCTCACTATGCAGTTCAGATGAGTAATAATCCCCTGTCTCAGCCTCCCCAGTACAGAATCACAGGCATGTGCCAGCATGACTGGTTTTGGTTGGCACAGTCCTGGGACTGGCAGAGCATGCGATACTGGGGATCAAACTCGGATCCCTGTGCTTTCCCAGGCAGGTGCTTAGACCACCAAGCTACCTCCCCAGCCCTATAATGATGTTTAAAATGTAAACATTTACTATATATTTTCATCACCTCCTTGTACTAAAAACAATGGAGATAGATGAATCACATAACAAAAGGTGCTGCCTCAGTTACCTATTTCAAAAATGTGTCACGTGGGCTGGGGAAATAGCTCAGCCATCTAAGCACCTGTTTGGCAAGAGCAAGGACCTGGGTTCGATCCCCGGTACCATATGCCCTGCTGGCCCCACTACAGGCATGCTGCAAATGCCAGATACTGAAACCAGGCGTGGTGGCACAGGCCTTTGATCCCAGTACTGGGGAGGCTGAGACACGAGGATCACTACAGGTCCGAGCTGCGTAGCAAGACTCTGCACCAAATATATAAAAAAGATTTTTTAAAATAACAACAACAGGGGCCAGGGAGATGGCTCAGT